GTCACCCTCTTTTATATACCAGACTACCCTATATCTAGTAAATGCTAGAGCATTCGCCAAGGTACAGGATAGTTCTAGAAACGTGGCGTGACACTAGTCATGTGACTCGCTGACGCAACAATATATTAGAATGATTATAAGATATATTTGAGTTGGTCGACAAATTTTGGATGACGAAAAAGTTTATTATTTCCCGGCTATTTTTACATTAAACATGGAGAAATTAAGGAAATAATTTCAACTCAACAAACTTATAATGTCATTCTATGACTTAATGTTAGACCTTTTTAAAAATTTTCATACGATTTTAACATATTGTTGTACAAAATATTTATTAAAGTATATTTATATCCGCCTTTTGTTTACATCCGTTCAAATGAACTACGCGCGCATGCGCATTTTCAGGACAGATAAAATAATAATTCCTATGCATATTCAAATATTAACTATTTTTCAGAATAAACAATTTTCTAAAGACATATTAGGTCACTTTAAACAAATTCCTTACATACATGTCTTTACCACACGGGTATGTTTAACTGAGAATTTGTGATAGTATCGAAGGCATACTTCAAATGTACCCTCATAAACCATATTCTTTATGTTCTGGTAGAGTTTTTGTCTCCTTGTAGGATATATCTGAACGTTTCGTTTCATTTTAAAGTTTAATGTGAAAGTTGTGATTTAGATTGTTTACAAAATGCGAGTGTTAAAGTAGGTTATTTTTAGAAGGGATAGATATCACAGGTTTACTTACGTAATTGTTTACAAATCATTTGTTGGGTAGTCCATTTGTTGTGAATTGATGGCAATATAAAGTCTCGTAGTTTGTATAAAGTTCTTGGCCTCAATCGGGCAATCTATGTATATAGGCGACCAAGCTAGTGCAAGTAAAGTATTGTTTGTTTGTTTTGAATTTCGCGCAAAATTATCTGCGCTAGCCATCCCTAATTTAGCAGTGTGAGACTAGAGGGAAGGCAGCTAATCATCACCACCCACCGCCAACTATTGGGCTACTCTTTTACCAACGAATAGTGGGATTGACCTAACATTATAACGCCTTCACAGCTGAAAGGGCGATCATGTTTGGTATGACAGGGATTCGAACGGGGATTTGTTTTCAATATATTATTTTAAAGTAAATGTATTTGGCACTGCCTGTCTATTGTTGAAATTCATCGCCAACAAGTCACAGGTACCTACTGTAAATAATTCGGCCTCCATAAAACTGACATTGCTATATAACCATGTCGACTGATTTTGATAAATGGATAGAGGGAGGTGAATGACAGCTCTATTTAAACAGAATATTCACATATGAAATACTGAGTAATTATTCAATAGTTAAAAGCCAAGACTGACATAATATCACATGGCATGCATAGATTATTATGCTACTTTATCGGTTTCTTGCATATATCGAAGCGGTATACACGATACACAATAACAGGTTGCACCATCCAAATTTTATTTAATAAATGCAAATGATGTTGCTGGTGCTATAGTTGCGCAACACTACCCAATTAGATATATCCGTGCCATGTCCATCGCGGGAATTGAACCTCGGATTTTATTTACCATTGTAAGTTCGTAAACTTACCGCTGAGATGCTGGGGGACTGACTAATGGAAAATCATAAATTATGCTAATATCTACTTTCCTTTCAATTTTTCCTCACTCTGTACAGGAAACCTAAACATTTTACCAGCTATGTGTTATATAAATGCGAAGAGATGTTATAAAGTTGCTAAAAACATTTGATTACTTACCGATACATTAAGTTTCTCAAAAACATAACTGTTGTATTGTTTCACAAAACATTCCGTCTTTTTCATGAACTTTTCATAAGTTTCCTTCTTCCACCAGTTATTTAGATTACCTTCTTCATCAAAGGTAGATCCTAGAAATTGGTAGATTAGAAATACGTCTTTAGATATTAGAAATTGGTACTTTATAAATAAGTCTTTACAACCTAGAAATTGGTAAGCTAGAAACATGTCTTTAGATCCAAGAAATTGGTAGAACATAAATGAGTCTATAGATCGTGAAAATTGGTAGGTTAAAAACAAGTCTTTAGATCCTAGAAATTGGTATTTCAGAAACAAGTATGTAGGTCCTAGAAATTAGAAGATAAGAAACAAGTCCTTAGATCATAGAAATAGGTAGATTATTAATAAGTTTTTAGATCGTAGAATATTTCATGTTTTACCAGGTGAGTGAACATACGTATAAAAGGTAAAATTCGAAGAAATAAATAAAGAAATTATGTTTCTAAATGATATAAGCTGTTTCTTTCCATTTATAGCGATAGGAAGGTATTAATTACATGAAAATGAGCGGTAAACATATAAAAGATGAACAAAAAATACACTAATTCTTCTACATATGAAACGTGCATGTAGTAGGCTTATTTAAACTATATGAAACGTCCATTCAGTACTAGTAGGCTTATCTAAACTATATGAAACGTCCATTTAGTACTAGTAGGCTTATCTAAACTATATGAAACGTGCATGTAGTAGGCTTATTTAAACTACATGAAACGTCCATTTAGTACTAGTAGGCTTATTTAAACTATATGAAACGTCCATTTAGTACTAGTAGGCTTATCTAAACTATATGAAACGTGCATGTTGTAGGCTTATCTAAACTATATGAACGGTGCATTTAGTAGGCTTATCTATATATTACCATCTTCACTTTTATCGTAGTAGAAAAACCTTTATATTTTATATCACATATAAATCCATGGGTAACTATAATATTTCTGTTGTCGTCGCTCCAGATCATTTACGTATAGATTTTCTTCGAAGTTCATCATCACTAAAATAATGTTTTTAACTGAGAAGAGAAAACCAAGAAATTTCTGACATCAGAAGAAATAAATATGAACTGAAGCAAGTATTTTAGATAGAGAAGCTTAAACAGTCTAATCATGCTTTATCAGATACATTGAATTTTATGAAAAATCCCTAAAAAGAAATTATTGAGAGAGATGAAAACTGCATGATAATCTTCTGTGAAAAAAAGTCAATATATTTTACATCGTAATATTTGGAAGACCTTTTTATGCTTAGATATGTCCAGAAATGACATAATCACCACTGCACAAGAAAATGGATTTTGTGAAGTACTATACGTATAGTGATTATGTTGTCAAGGGAACAAGGCTATTTGTATGTAATACTGATTCATCTATACACATCGTATTTTAGCTGTTTTACTTATTTTCTGTGTATATTATGCTAATGACGCCTAAAGATTCTTGTTTTGACATTTTTATGGATCGAATATGCCAATTCAGTTGAGGACATTTCGAACTGGTAACACAGGTCTTCATCACGTCAAGTGAGAGGCTACGAGAAAGAGGAGTTGAGGAATCCTAAAAGGTATATAATCATTATTTGAAGCAAAAGCGGATTTACACAACGAGGAAAAAGGACTCAAAAGATGGCTGTATAACGTTATATTTAAGTTAGGTTTTTTGATGACGAGGAACCCACTTTGAGACTAATAATGGCTGGAGACGGCTTGAATGGGTAATGAAGAAAAACTTTAATATAAGTTTAACAAAGCAGCAAATGTACAAC